ATTTAAAACAGTTGAACTCACAGAAGTAGAGAGTAGAATGGTGGTTATTCTAATGGGGATTGGGAAGACGTTGGTCAAAGGGTCAAAGTTTCAGTTAGAAAGAATAACTTCAGGAGGTCTATTGTACAACATGATAACTATAGTTGAAAATAATGCATTGTAGAATCTGAAATTACCAAGAGAGATTTTAAATGTTCTCACCAGACACACAAAAATAAGTACATGAAGTAAGGTATATGTTAATTATCTTGATTTAGGCACTGCACAATGTATACTTATATCCAAATATTCATGTTGTATAGCATAAATAATATATCATTTGTATTTGTCAATTTAAAATAATTTAATTTTAAAGATTGTGTATCTCCTATGAATGAGGAAAGAGAAAATGGATGACAAGGGTAGGCAACTAGCTGTTATACATCACACCCATTCAATCTCTTCTTTACTTAGCAACCACAGTGACCCTAAAATGTAAGACAGATTCCTAATCAAAACCCACAAGACTGGATAAAAAAGGATCAAGTGTTTTTCCTATCTTTCTGGTAGGAATTATATCTCAGGGTAGCTGAAAAGTTGATAAAGGAAAGTTTTTTTGTTGTTGTGTTTAGAATAATTCCAGTCAGTAAGTGCAAAATAAATTATGGAATTAGAAACTTGACCCTCAATGATTTAAGGTAATGATCCTTATTGGATCATTACAAAGACAAAACAAAACATAACAGACATTTATGCCTCTTGATGCAATGCAATTGGAAGTGCTACATCACCTATGAAGGATTCTTTCAAATAAATAAATAAATACTGGGCTAGACACTGGGGCTACAAGAGTGACCCAGATAGGACAGGGAAGAGCTAATTCCAGGCAGGAGGAAAACAAAATCCTGATCATTATTTTTGCCAACAAAGAATTATTGATTGTGGGAAATTTTATGACACATTTTAATTCAAAATGCTGGCAATATAGCTCTCATTACTGGTACACCTAGAACATAAAATATGCTCACATTTCTATTATTCTCAGGCTATGGCTTTTACATTTTATGTAACAAATCAGGAAAACCATTTTGACAACAAATTAGATATATTCTTAAAACATAACTGAGCAATCAAAATGCAGTGCCGCATAATTTCTTCAAAGCATTGCTGCCATTTCCAATATAACAGCACAATTGCAAACAGATGCTTTCTTAAGACCAAGGAAGTACTCTGTTTTACTTTCTCACAAAAGTTAATATTTTTCACTCTTGTTTTAATAGTAAAGATACAAATTTAAGAGGTCAAGAAAAATGTCAGGCTTCAGAATGTTATAGTGTTATTTTAAGATAACACTGACTATTATATTTCTACAGTGTATGATATGTATGCTAGGATTATTAGATTTATAACATATCCAATTTTTTTTAAGTCTGTGTGAGGAGAGATAAGGAAAGCCAAAGTGAATTTGCTGCACCTGTTATCTGGGTATTTGGCATCCTTAACAAGTTCCATCCCCGGGAAGCCAGATTAATAGATGACAGGGAAAACATTTAAATTGCATTATCATCTGTGATGTGCTAATAAACATGGATGCTGCAAATCCAACTGAAAGGGGACTGGTTTATGAAGTGTGGCATGCTGCAATTTACATATCTCACCCTCCAGATGTGAGGAGGGTAAATGAGAAAGGAGTGTGCTCAGATCAGCAGGGGATAAGGGGGAAAAGATGTGTATACTTTGGCTGTCAATTTGATCAACTGAAGAAACAGTGACACTTAGAGAAACGATTGACTTTTATTCTTCCTAAAATAAATCTGGCTCTAGTTGCTTCTCTGTTGCATTCTGGAGCAGTCTGAAAGACAGCATGCCTAATGCTAGCCAGTCGTTCTGTGCCTGGCCCTGTCGGCTTCCAGCAGAGAGGGCAAACTCTCTGAATACTGAGTCCACAGATACTGAATACACATCGTCAGTCTTAGCCAGCCAGCAAAAGCAGAAAACAACTTCTTCTTCAAAAAAATTAATTTCGTAAGTTATATACAGCTTAGAGTCTAAGTCCAATACAAAATCTTAATGTATCCAAAACTGGACAGCTAAATTTCTCATAGGTAACCACTGTCCTCATACATGTGTGTGAAGACTTTGATAACTTTCAGTATTTAGAAGTAACAGTATAACTTAGTTAATTTAACTTAAACAACATTTAACTTAGTTAATTTTTTAAATTAGAGGCTTCCCAATAGACATGCAATATTGGATAAATGGAATGGTAAGAGGGAATAAAAGAGCCAGGAGTAAGAAAATCAGTCACAAAATATAGCCAAGCAATAATCCTCAATGGGAATGTTAGCATTTCATATTTAATAATTAAATGCTAGTATTTTGGATTTATTAAGTAAAATACATTTAACTGTGTGTTTACTGTATAGATAAGCAATAACAAAATCTTTCTTTCTCTTTCTTTTAGCTTTTGATTATGGAAAATATATAACATATACAAAGACAGAATAGCATAACAAACCTCAATGTATCCATTGCCCAGATTCAACAATTATTAACATTCTGTTGTTCTGGTTTCATCTATACCTCTACTCACTCCCTCCTCTATTAGTCTACAGTTTTTAAGGTATATAAATTTTACCTTATTGAAAAGCACAAGTATTAACTGTATAATTTTGACAAATAAATTCATCCATGTAATCCATATGCCTATCATAATATAGAACATTTCATCTCCTCAGAAAGTCCCACATGTCATTTTTGTTTTTCTCGTTCTCTTTTCTTTTTTTTCTGTTTTATTTCAAAGATGTGGGGTACAGTTCAGGATTAGGTATACAAGTGGGCCTCGCACAGGTAAAGTTTGGGCCTCCCTTTGGTTCCTGCTTTGCCTGGTTTGAGATCAGGTCCCCTTATTGATGTTGTGTCCTCATCCCCACTCCGGCAGTATCCCACTACTGCCAATCCCTTTCTTATAGTACTATGGTAAATGTTCAGGGTCCGCTTATGAGAACATATGGTACTCTGTTCTTTGTTTCTGTGATAGATCACTGAGTATTCACATGTCATTTTCTCAACCAGACTACCTGCAGGTAGAACAGTACTTATCCAATAGAGAACATGTTTTCTCAAGTACAGAAAAAAATCAAGGAAAGTCAGTTCCTCAAATCAGTATGCTTTGTATCTCAAGCCTTACAAAGGCTTATAATCAGCTTCCTACAAAAATGACAGTGTAGAAATCTGACATGCAGACTAAATTCAGGCACTGTTCTCTCCACAGATAGTATTCAGATACAGAGTCTCCAGAAAAAAATGGGGAATTCAATAATACGTAACAAAAAAACCCGGTATCTGTAGTTAGCTATCTTTTTATTTATTTCAATAGTACTTCAAAAAAAATTACAGGTCCATAAGCACAACCTAAGATATAAATAGTAATACTAAAAAATGGCAAGATAATAAAAGCAGTATTATTATAATGGCATTTTTAACCACTCACCACAGGGAGTATATGCTTAACAGACCATATTAAATTCTCTATCCTTGCTCTCCAGAAAGTTAACAATAACAATAGTAGCAGGAATACTGGTACTGACATTAACAGCAGCTAATAAATATTAGCAGTGGGGAAGCAGGAACTCAAAACTAGTTCTATCTGACTCCTATGTGCCCTACTGATTCCAACCATAACAGAGCAACACAGATAAGCATGCATACTATTAACATTATATATAACCTACATTTTATTATGCCTATTTAAGTCTTGTCCTTCATACTTGCTCCTTTAGTCATGCCAGTAAAACTCTTTCCTCCTCCCTCAAGTTCCCACACAGGCTTGTAGAGAAGAAAATCTGACCAAAAATCCTGCCCTCTGGAGAAGGTCTGGGGAGGAAGCCCCTACCTTCAGCCTTCCTTCCTTGCTCCTTCCTTCCTAGGAGGAACCAGAATTTCTATGACTGAGAAGTGTGAGAGCTGGCTCTATCCTTCACAGTTGTGGTGCTCAGGGAACATAGCCTCCTCTTATTTATTTATTTATTTTTAATTTTAAGGGGGGCCCAATTCAGTGTTAGGTACATAAAGTAGTCATTGTACAGGTGAGGCTTCTTCTTTTTGAATGCAGGCTCTTCCTAGCCTGCCTTTGTGCATACAGGGATGAGCAGGCCAGGCAAGTCTTCATTCTCAGCAATAGTTTTCCATTCATTTTCTCAACCAGACTACCATAGGTCAAGTCAGCTCTTTACTGGGGGCACTTGGAACTAGTCACGGGGAAGAAGGAGACTCCATCAGGGCCTGGTCACATTTTTTGCCATTAATGAGGCTGATACTGTGGCTGATACTGTGATCAATATTTGGGTGTTATGTTTCCCAAACTAGTTAGAAATTAGGGAGGAAAGTTGTAACCAGCTGGGTCCCAGACTTCCAGAAGCCAAAATCTTTATCTCTTATCTCATCTTATTGCATTTGGACTATGTATTTTCCTTTTTGGTGTCCCTCTAACTATATATTTAAATATAAATATATTTATATTTATATATAATATAGTTATGCTGCAGTAGGGGCTGGGGGTGTGGGATGTCCAGTGAGATTCCCTTTCCTACAGCCTGGCTGCTTACAGCTCACATCAATCCTCAGCACTGTTTGATAATTCTTCCCTTATTCCCAGTGGTGCACTATTCCTTCCTCAGCTACTCTTTTCATCACCACCTTCACAACCATCAGTGACAACAATAGCACCATCTACACCACCAACACATACCAACACCACCACTACCAACACCAATACCGGCAACACCTACCTACCAACACTACTATCACCCACCAACACTATCAACACCAATACCACCACCACTGTCACCAGTGATAACAATACTACCACCATCTACACATTACCAATACCACCACCATCACCTACCACCCACCACCCACACCAACACTACTCCCAACACCAATACCAACACCTCTATGAATGTTCAGAATTGAACTGCAAACAGCTAATGACAAGGATTCAACTAGTTTCTTGGTATTACCTTGTTTTCCTCTGGAGTAAAGAGGATTCGGAATATGGATGGCACTCCTGGAGCTACTTTGTGGCTGGCATCTTTGGGGCTGATTACTTTAAAGTAAGGTGAACCTTCCTCAACAACTTTCACCATTCTTGGAATCTGCAGGAAAAAACACACAATGATGGACATTGTGCATGTAAAAAAGCAGAAGAAAAAGCACTGGCTTTGGAGTTAAACACAGACTGAAATTTCTGTCAACTACTTACTAGACACGTGACCCTGGTCAGATCTCAACTTCAGATGCCTCAATTTAAAAGGAGATGATAATTCCTATCTCTACTCCATACAAAGTAAGCACTTAATACATTTAGCTGTAATATTTATTACCATTATTGTTATTACTCATTTTCATTAATATTGCAAGTCTTTGTTTATTTTATTATATAAACGTGACTTAGCTAAAACCCCACCTACACAGTTGAGTTAAGCCGGGTTTCCCAACGTTTGGGAACTGCTCTGGAAGAAGCAGTCACTAACTGACTCCTTCTGGGAATCATCTGCTGCACATGCCACCTCATCCTTACAATAACTTTTGAGCTTCATTTTCACTCCCATTCTACAGATATTTGCCCAAAGTGGTACAGCCCCAGCAAGCAGTGGTGCTGGGAAGCTGGGGCTGTACCACCTTTCCATGGCATTGTCCTGAATAAACACACAATGAAGCGAAACAAAAGAGCAGTAGGCTATCCCCCAGGCCAGTCTTCCAACAGATTCCAACCGCTTCATTTTTTATTTTTATTTTTTTAAGAGACAGGATTTTGCTCTCTTACCAAGGCTGGAGTACAGTGGCACAATCATAGCACACTGTAACCTTGAATTCCTGAGCTCAAACCTCATTCCATCCTCCTTCCTCAACCTTCCAAGCAGCTAGGCCAAATAGCTAGGACTACAGGCACATGCCACCACCACCGGCTAATTTTTTATTTTTTATTTTTATTTTTGAGTTGGAATCTCCATCGCCCAGGCTGGAGTGCAGTGGCACACTCACAGCAACCCCAGCATTGATCTGTTGGACTCTGGCGATCCTTCCGCCTCAGTCTTCCAAGTAGCCAGAACTACAGGTGCATGCTACCACGCCAGGCTAATTTTTTTTAAAATTGTAGACACAAGGTCTCACCAAGTTGTCCAGGCTGGTCTTGACCTGTGGGTTCAAGCAATCCACTAGCCTCAGCCTCCCAAAGTGCTTGGATTACAGGCTGAGATACTGAGACTGGCCAACTTTTTTTTTTAAGATGGGAGTCTCACTGTGTTGCCCAGGCTGATCTCACTGTGTTGCCCAGGCTGATCTCGAGCCCCTGTCCCTAAGTGATCCTTCCACCTCAGCTTTTCCAAAGTGCTAGGATTACAGGCATGAGCCACTGAACCTAATATCTCCATTCTTTTAAAGTCTCATTTCTTTGCTGGAATCTGAACCTGGATTAGTCTGACTCTTGAGTCTGTGTTCTTATAATTGCATCCCAAGTGGAATTGTATTGTGGTTTATAGAGTGTTCTGGCTTATTCTCACCCTGTGTGTGCGAGAGAGAGAGTAAAAAATAATGACCAAATAGGCTCTGTCGTTTGCACTCCATGCCAGTGAGGGGGCAAATAAAAGGAAAATGGCACAGAAAGCATTTCTAGAGGCCCCAAATCTCTCCCAGTGGTTCTTTATGAGACCATGAACAAGGAAGCAGAGAAGCAGGTTCACATCGGCCACCTAGTACGAGGGTCTTGGAGTAACTCACCAAAGGACAAGCCTGCCTAGCCTGGAGAAAACTGTGCTTGTTGTAGCTGGACATCCCCTGGATAGAGACTCTCTTTTCATGGGGCCAACCCTCTGGCTGCATCTTACCAGGAGCTGTTGGGTTATCCGTAGGAACTGAGTGTCCGTTCACAGACAAAACTTACACATGCCCTTTACCCTTGACTTATTCAACATATCCACTGATAGTTATTTCTTGTTTAGGGTCAGGGAGGAACAGCCAGAGGATCCTTTAGACTAGCTCTTCTCTGCCTTTAATAGCCTAAAAATACCTGGACAAGAGTCAAAGTAATAGAGAAAAGGACAAGAGAGTTGGACATGAGAACAGAATTGGTTGGCAGCTCTACATAAAAAGAGAGTCTTAATGTTTATGCCCTGTACCTCTCTTGAGTTCTAGGAACATAACCCTGTGCACCTCAGGTTCTTTTTCTTTTCTTTGCCTGGCTTTAAGTTTCTGTTCCATGAGCTTCTCTTGCTAACACTATTGCAACAAAGAACTAAATATACCATTTTCTCCAGAGTCTGACTTTGCTGTCACTAAATCTCCCCATTGATCTCTGAAAGGCATCACTGATTCCTTTAATGAGCTACTGTACCAAATATAACTGCAAGTCTTCCCATTTGCTTTGGATCCTTGCATAGTCTTCACTTATTTTCTCATTTCTTATAGATAGAATGTTTTTATCTCTCCATTCTTAGATCCCTATAAGTATTTCCTATTTGTTTTTACATCTAAAGTTTAGCAAATTTCAGATGCCTTCTTCCTCCATCCGATTACTTTTCACACCTATGTGTGCTTCATGCTGACCTTCTGTGTTTCTTTGATTATTGTTAGATGTCAAGGAAATCCTCAGGAATTTAATGCCTTCTCTTGAAATAAGTGCTAATTTATCTCTGAAGAAAAAAGCATAAGGCTGGGGAAGAAATCCTCAGGTGCAATCACTAAGAGACAAGATAGAGACAGCAAGAGCAGCTTTACAAAACTCTGCAGACAAACTCTGAAGGATATCTGATACAGAAGGGAGAAGATAGGAAAGGGATCTACATATTTTAGAAAAGGTTCGATTTTTTAAAGTATAATCTGTAAAATAAAATGCATTGCAGAATATAAATATAAATGTTCAACTATTACAATTCACATGAGTAGAGTTTATACTGCAAATTGGGGAAATGATGACTCCAAGAAAGAGTACATTATCATTCATGGTGATTTCTCTATCCTAAAAGAAGACCTATCACAGTTCATCATGCATGAGCATTATAGGTCATTCATCTAGTCAGTCCTATATTCAATAAAAAGTTAGTGCGCATGTTGGGAGCTCACCATTTGCTGAGCACTGGGTAAGAATGAACATATAGCAACAAACAAACACCGTCTTGTCTTTATTAAGCTTACAATCAAAGGACATGCTTTCATACTATTTTCCTAAATGTACCAAACTAAAGAATTTATCTAAGATCCTACAAGATTCCATTTTACTCAACCCCTTCTCACATATTCTGAAAAAGTTTGCCTACTCCATTGAACATACTCACTTTGTCATTGTTCCTCAAAACCAGTGGAACTTCATAGACTTCACAAGGAGTGTAGTTCTGAAATATAATTTCTGATGGGAAGGGCTGGAATAATGCCTGTTCCAGGTCAATTCCTGAAAACTATAATTGAAAGAGTAAATTATTCTTATAATCACAGAGTGACAAAAATGACTGGGGAAGAAAAGAAAATACCACATAGACCTATGGCCATTAAAACTAAGATGATGGAAAACATTCAAAAGGGGTAACCACTGTAAACATTAATAGTTATAATTAGTGAGATTATTGTCATCAACTTCTTTAATATAAAATAGAAATTTTTGTCTTCCATTAAAAAAATAGACTATTATTACAATGCCAACACCAGACTTCCATTTCCAGTAACGATGAAGGATTTGAACCAACCCCTCACCCCAGTGAAGTAGAAAGAAAATGGAAGGAGTGTATGATCACAGATACAAGTGAATAAAAGGGTACAAAAAAGAGACTGTAACTGTATCAAGTGCTGTGAGATAACCCAGGTCTGCTGAGCTAGTCAAGCTCAAAAATGAAGTTTAAGATAATCAAAATACGTAACTCAAAGTAAGAAATATAGAGATAGTCTGATTAATGTCATTTTAAGAAAATGGAAATGAACAGAAAGTCAAAAATAGATTAAAGAGGAAAGGATGTTCCTATGAAAAAATATAATTTAAGAAAAACTTTCTAGAAATAAAATAAGGCTACACAGTACCTCAGGAAAAATTTGGTGATATCCTAATAAAATTACTGGATATTAAACAGGAATAAATGGTCTTTAGGCATACAGGCTAAAAGACTGAAGTATCTATAGGGGGAGAAATCAAGCTGGTTTCATACTTCTACATCATTTAAAGTCAGAAGGAAGTGAGGAAAATGCCTGCAAAGTTGTTATGATAATTTGTGACCCAACAAATCTTTAGTTCATTATAAAGGCAATACACAAATATTACCAAACACATAAAACCAAGGACATGCAGTTTTCATAGACTCTTCTTGAAGAAAACAGTAGGGGATGACTGTTATTCAACTAAGAGAAAAAAGGTTAAATTTCAGAATATAAAGTAAAAATAACCAACTGAATTGAGAGAAGAAAAAGGAGAGAAGATGCAATGTAGTTAAGTATCTAACTTCCTCATTTTTCAGAGCTGTAGTCAAAAAACATGAAGATACACACACTAGTAGTACATACCAAAAACAACAAAAAAAAATACACATAGCCTGATCTTAGTCATGCTTTCAGACAAAAGGAAATAACCCTTAATTAGGATAAATTAGCTTTGGAAGAGGCCACGTTCTCTCCTCTCATATTTGGAGAGTCATTGTGGGGAAAAGAATAAACAACTAATAACTAAAGCTGGCAATGCTCAGAATGGTGAAGTCTAGGCAGATCCTTGACAGGGGAGGCAATGGTGTAGTAGCAGGGAGAGCAAAAGAGCCTCAGGGCCTCATTCTCACATAGAATGTAACTCTGGAAAACTCTCAGGAATAACTTGGTAAGCCTTTGAGAGAGGTCTAACCTCCAGCAGCCCAACTGATGGAGGTTCATATCATAATTTGTTCATTAAAAGTGAAGCATATAATTTAAGAAATGAATTAAAAAGTAGGAACTAAGACCTTCCTTTGTAATCATATGCTTTGAAAGCTTAGAATATATGACTTACATTAGAATACAGAAATATGTTAAAATACTATTCTTTTTTAAAAAAATTCTTTAGAGACTAAAATGAACCAGAATAGACAACAAATGCCTACTTCAATAAAAAAATAATAAATAAATTTCATCTTTTTCCTTTCTAGTGGGCAACTAGGTAAGGAGAGATTACTTGCTATGCTAAGATGATAATTTAATTGGGGTTGGCCAACATAATTCTTAGAATTATTTCTAACCTGTAAACAATATAGTGTCAAAGTATCCAGAAAGAGCTAAGAAAGAAGTGTGACTAGTCAAAGTTATTTTAAATGAGGTTTACACTTATTAATTGCAGTTTTGACCACACCAAATCACAGATATCAAAATCAACAGAGGTAGAAAAGGAGTATATTAAACAACCCAATAAGGAATTAGTTAGCTAGGAAACAATAACTTTTGTGTAGTTATTGCTGTTCTGGAATTTTCACATTATTCCAGGGACTACTTTATGTGCAAGTATGACAGAAAGCAGTTACCTTTTGGTGTGTTGTTTCCCCCATATCTAAGAGTTTGATGATCTGTGGTCGGCACATTGAACGTGTGTTTGCCAGTTTCTGCTCCGTGGTGAGGGACATTTCTTTTAGGAACTCTGAGGGTGTAAGCTAGAATTTAAAACAATAAGAGCCAAAGATTCATGAGTGGTTATACTAAAAAGTGTTTTCATAAGTGCTAGTAATGAATAATTTGTGTTTGCAGCTTTCAGGATAATTCTAGAATGCCACTAAAGTTCCTTTATAAAATATTTAAAAATAACTAAATTATATAAGAGGAATATCCATGCACTTCTGAAGTCTTCGCACAGTAATCTAAAATGGCATGTGGTTGCTGTTTCCTTATGATTTTGAAGGAATAACACAAAAAAACCTGAGAGAAAAAAATCAAGAAATTGCATGGGAACATGTCCAAAGAGTTTAACATTTATGCTCAGAAGAGTCATCTAAGCATAAAACTCTCAGTTTGTAACATTGCTTACAGATTCAGAGATAAGGAGTTTGAAATAATTCTATTTCTCGACTGAAGTTATAACCTGCAAACAAAGCTTTTGGGTGTTTAGCTATAATGTTATATTATGTTAAAGAGAAACCTTATAAAATGCAAAGGATCTTAGAAGCATGATTCTGTTACTTAGGAATGAGTCTGAACTTTTTAGACATCACAAGAGCACATTTAGAACTTGCTTTGAGGAGACTGAGTGTTTTTAGGATGGAATGGCCATAGATGTAGACCTTGCTTTTTAAGAGCTCTAACCTAATCATCAGATTCAGCAGCCAGTCATATTTGTATGCCGTAATAAGACCACAAAGTACTTTCACACTTTCCAGTGTTATGAGAAAAATATATAACCTGTCATTTAAATAAAACTAGCCTACCAAGGGATTAGTTAGCCAGAACAAATCACAATTATTGTTATAGAATGTTCACATTGTTCCAGGGCCTACTTTATATATGTAAGGAGATTGTGATCATTGGCAGCTACTTAAGGCTTAAGTATATGCCAAGACTTTTTTAAACATTCAAGGGTATATAATTTAGCTGATTTGTTTTGCCTTGGGTTAAAGTCAATGAATTTCAAGGAATGCTTATTTTCCTACAGTTTTGTTTTCCGTGATTGAATCAATTTAAATGAAGACCTATTTCTAATATAGCTTTCAACTTGGTTTTTAAGTTCTTTTTGATTGGAACCCAAATAAGGATAATAAAGTGTTAAGAGGTTTCAGCTATATTGTGATTTAAATGAAAATAATGAGGTCTTAAAGGCAAAAAGTCAGGAATTTCTTTAAATATACACAACCACCACAAAAGAGAATGAAGACTGATTTTATTTTTTTAATTGGAATGTAACTTAAGATTAGTTTTAAAAATGCAGCAGGCCGGGCTCGGTGGATCAACCTGTAATCCCAGCACTTTGGGAGGCTGAGGCGAGTGGATTGCCTGAACCCACAGGTTCGAGACCAGCCTGGGCAAATTGGTGAGACCTCGTCTCTACAATAAAATAAAAAGTAGCCGGGCATGGTAGTGCACATCTGTAGATCTGGCTACTCGGAAGGCTGAGGCAGAAGGATCACCTGAGCCCAGAAGGTCGACACTGGGGTGGCTGTGAGCGTGCGTGCCATTGCACTCCAGCCTGGGCGAAGGAGTGAGACTCCAACTCAAAAAAAAAAAAAAAAGTGCAGCAAATACTATCCCTAGCACTGGAAATGTGTATTAATATTTCCTATAGCATGTGGTTCATAAATAATTTCTCACCAAATCATTATAAATCATTAAGGCTATAAATATATTTTATTTTAAAGAACAGAAAAAAATGTACTTTTCCTAGACACTATTTAGTCATTATTTTAATGCTTTATATTTTGTAAATATATAAACAAAAATTATTCTTGCCAATCAATAGGTGATCAATTATTAGGTTGAACCCTGTGAAATTCTGATATTTGACTCTTTTGAACTGAACAAATAACAGTTTCACATAGTTCTACCTAATATTTAGAAGACCTTATTAGTTTGTTTATATAGTTTTACTTCTACTGAGTAATTTAAGCAATTTAAACCCCTACTTTGATGTATGCAATTTCAAAACTTCCCAGGCTTCTGTAGGTGCCTATGATCTACAGAAGCTGCCGTTCTAACTAAAATGATATTAATTAGTCAGTAATTCTGTTTAGTATTGTGACAATGCCAAATAGCAACTGACATTCTCCTAAGGAGATTGCACTAAGTATTTTACATGGAAATTCCCTGATATATTACCATTTGGTTTACTTCTTCTTCTGCAACCACTTTTGGATTCAGGGGTGGTAAAACTTTGCTTTGGAATCCTTTGAGCATTTTGACCAACCCCATTTGAACAGCCCCCATGGACTCCTCAAGTCTTCTACTTGTCATTTTTAGTGGTTTTCTTTGTTCACCTAAGAATGAAAAAAAAAGTTTTAGAACTCATACAGTTAATTCCTAATACAGGTCACAATTTTTTGAAGCTTTTCAAATACAGAAAGGTTTAGGAAATACCGATCTTAAAAAAAATACATCAAATGCTTGGAACACAAATCTTATTTAATAAAAGATTCTATTCCATACGACTAATCTAGGTTTGCCCTCCTCCCAAAGAATCCATTTTAGGCAGACTAAGGGATTCTATACTAAGCTTGGGAAGACATGTAAATACAGACTGTTCCTACATCTTGCCACTTTTATCTTCTCAAATACTACACAATAAATATAATTTATCTGCATATTTGACATTTTTCTCTTATGGCAATCAACCCTTCAAACAGAATAAACACAAGACTCCAGGCCTTCACAGCTGGGCAGAGACTCTAAATAATCAACATAAGATAAAATGGGAAAGAAGAAATTCCTGGAAAAGTTTTAAAGTTTATGGTTACATATAAGTCATTAAACAGTCACAAACATCTCTACATCAAAGAAATATGAATCTCCCTTTTCCATATTCTTGCTCAGACTATGGAAGAACCCTTGCAATTTCAGGAACCCATCTATGACTAGGAAGGGATTTCTATTTTCATTTTCTATTTTTATTAATAGCAGGCTAGGTTATTCAACACTTGTGCAAAAAAAAAGTGTGATAAAATGCCAAACAAAAACCCTAAAGCCACTTAAAACCTCTCAAAACAGTAAGAAATTGCCAGACCAAATCATAGGAGAATTCATAGGAGGTATAATAGAAAATATACCTCCTCAGGAGCAAATGGAACAGTCACACAAATTTGTTCATATATCAGGGAACAAAGAAACATTAGTAGGCTGTATAACCCCAAAATATTACAAATAATACTCTTATCATTGTATCAAAAACTAGAAATTAAAAGATTAAAAAACAAGACTGCTCACTTGGAAATTTTAAAGCCTTCAACTAAAAAACAATATGAGGTTAAAAAAAAATCCATGAAAGTAAGAAGTTACATTAATCATTTTTTATTATATTATTATAGTTGCAAAGAGCTAAAAATATGGTGGTATAAACTATCTAGCAAAATTATATATGCATATACATTTGACTCAGCAATTTTTATTCTAGGAATCTTTCCAAATGACATACTGGCTAAAATATGAAATGATAACATAAATTATAACAGTGGATACTTATAGGGCAAATAAAGGAACAACACAGAGGAGACAGGAATGAAAGAAAGATTTCTCTGAATGTACCTCACTATATAGTGTTGACTTTTGAAACATGTAAATGTTTTACATATCAAAAACCAAACAGAAACAAGAGGAAAAAATCGATTCTTAAAAATTGAAAACAGCCGGGCTCGGTGGCTCAGCCTGTAATCCCGTGCCTTTGGGAGGCTGAGGTGAGTGGATTGCCTGAGCCCGTGGGTTCGAGACCCGCCTGGGCAGCGAGACCTCATCTCTACAATAAATCAAAAAATCAACCGGGCGTGGTAGCGCACGCCTGTAATTCCGGCTACTTGGAAGGCTGAGGCGGAAGGATCGCCGGAACCCAGCAGTTCGAGGCTGCGGTGGCCGGGAGCGGCCACTGCACTCCAGTCTGGGCGACTGAGTGAGACTCCAACTCAAAAAAAAAAAAAAAAAAAAATTGAAAACAAACTGAAGCAAATGAACCTTGTTGTATATCGCCTTGATATCATAACCACAAAGAGAAGACAATTATTCCAACTAACCTTAAACCACAGTATTTTGACTGTATATCCTCAATGGGATATGCTATACAAAATAGAGGGTGGCAGAGAAATCTTACCATTTATTCAGTATCTTCCTGTTGGCCATATCCTGAGTAATAATATTTTTTAAATAAATAAGTATATCAATATTGTTAGAAACCAAGGATTTCCACATTTTAAAAATTATATAACCGAAGAACTTCTTATATTAGGAAACCCTAGTTAAATTGAAAATATGAGTGCAGGCTCATGATGATTTTCTCTTTTTAAATAACCTGCCCACTAAAAAAGCCCAGAAGTAATAAAAGTCTAGTAGCAGTGACAGTGCAGAGACCTAGATTGTGGTCTCCAAACACCGTTTACCACTAAAAGGTATCACAACTCCTTGGAGAAATGGGTAATTCCAGGACAAGGACATGAAACATATAAGATGAACTTGGAACATTCTATCATACCATAAAACAAGAAAGTTATTGAAGACTACTTTGTGTCAAGGACCCAGAGCAACTTGAAAGAATTCCCATTCACCAAAGACAGCACAATTTGAACATTTTTTTAAAGTCTTCAATAGATTCGTTGCTAAAAATCCGAGTTCAAACGATACTCAAATGTATCATTGGTCACAAATAGAAGTTGCTAAAGCACCAAACTAATTATTTTGGAAATAATAAAAGGAAAGAATCAACTGTTTACTCTGCAAACTTTTTTTTTTTTTGAGTTGGAGTCTCACTCTGTTGTCCAGACTAGAGTGCAATGGCCACTCCCGGCCACTGCAGCCTCGACCTGCTGGCCTCCGGCAATCCTTCCACCTCAGCCTTCCACTTAGCCGGAACTACAGGCATGTGCTACCACGCCCGGCTGATTTTTTGATTTATTGTAGAGATGCGGTCTCGCTGCCAGGTGGGTCTCGAACCCGCGGGCTCAGGTAATCTGCTCACCTCAGCCTCCCAAAGGCGCGGGATTACAGGCTGAGCCACCGAACCCGGATCTCTGCAAACTTTGTATAAACTGCATAGTTTATGAAAGAAAATTATTCTTTATAGAATAATTGCAGCTAATAAATGCAGGGAAGAAATGACAGACAGATGATAGCCATTTTGCCGCCCCTAATGAAATGAAAAATCATCAGTACTAAAACAATTAGGCAACATGTTGTTGGAGAACTTTATAGTGGCTCAATCAGGCTGACAACACCTGAGCCCTCTAAATCAATCTTAACCCTAAAAGAGTTAAAACAGGCACAATTTAAACCTAAATCTAACTAAGCCTCTAAACCTAAGGTTGCAGGAGATAGAGGGAATGGAGAAACATATATATTCTGTAAGAATACAATTAAACCAAATCCAGAATATGGGAAATGTTGAGGGAAATGACCCAGTTTATTCAACTAATAAATAGCATGAGGAGACAGAGAGAACTTTTATGAATTAAAACAGTCTTATACGTGAGGCCCAAACTTTACCTGTACATTGACCATTTGTATATCTAACCCTGAATAAAAATTAAAACACTCTTATACCAACCAAATGTAAGTAGGACCTTGTTTGGATTATTATTCAGAGAGTGAATAATAGATTATATAAAATAACTATCATTCACTAATTAAATATTTTTATTTAGTCAGGCATGGTGGCTTATGCCTATAATCCCAGGACTTTGGGAGGCGGAAGTGAGAGGATTGTCTGAGCCCATGGGTTTGAGACCAACCAGGGCAACTTGGTGAGACCTCGTCTCTACAATAAATTAAAAAATTAGCCAGGTGTGGTGGTGCACACCTGTAGTTCCAGCCACCTGGAAGGTTGAGATGAAAGGATCACCTGAGCCCAGCAGGTTGAACCTGCAGTAGCCGTGAGCATGCCACTGCACTCCAGCCTGGATAACAGAGTGAATCTCCAATGCAAACAAACAAACAAATGAATTACATAAATAAATATTTTTATTTCATTAATACTATCAAATTATATCTATTCCAAACAATAGTGATGCTATTGTTGTTTTAATTATTTGATAAATATGTCAATAAACTTAAAATACTTAAAAAATTATTCTTTTTGTTGGGTAGGATAATGGTACTGTGGGTATTTTTTAAAAAGGGAATTCTTATCTGATAGAGATATTTAGTGATGTACAAGAGAGAACCCCCCAAAATTGGAATTTATTTATAAAAAATTGTGTATTTATTCTTACATGTTTAAACTACTGATTAAAAATAGAGCAGACATACTTTTCCCTATTCCTTCCACTAACTAAAAATTCTAGACATTATATATACAATAAACAAAAGAAGACTGAAAGGCTGAGAGAAGAATGCAGACCAGTGAGGGACTACAGGGTGGTGAGTTCTCTCCATTTTTTGTTTTTGACTCATATATCTCAAACTGGATGCTGGAAAAGCCAACCAAATCTGGAAATTTGAAAGGCATGATGAAAAGAAGTCCCAAGAAAAGCATGCTCTCTCTATTCAAATAATCAGGAAAGGTCCAACTCAGCAAGACAGAAAACTTTTAGACAAAACCATCCTACTCTTGCTACACACCAGCGGAAAAATTATATATTGCATACTCCCTTCAGTGCAGCCAATAAAGGCAGAGTTGGGGGCCTAGACTTTCACCCTCACCAGGCTGTAACAAGCTGCCCCAACTGCTCTGCCAACATGAGAAGACCAAGTGAGGAGCAGAGATTTCCATTCCTATTAGGCAGTAATGAACACAACCCCACATATACACTCCATGGTGTCAGTGGAAACCATGTGGGGAAACCAGGTATCTACTCCATTCAGGGGTAATAAAGCAACTCTTTGCTGTACCACTGGAGTGATGTCAAAGGACGCCTCACAGAGACTCAGGATATTTATCATCATCTAGCAGTAACAAGACCACAACTCTACCCTGCAGTGTCAGTGGAGGTCACATGGAGAACAGTTAATGAGGCATGTCTATCCTTCTCAGCCAGGGTGTTATCAGCAAAAGGCTAGTGACTAACTTAAACTCTCAATACCACCCAACCCTATCAAGAAGTCCCTCCTCCCTCATGTGTTAACAGAGCTTAAAGGGAAGAAATGGGACTTCCATTTCCATTTGGCAGTAATTAGGCAGAGTCACCCTCCTCAACTACAGCAGTATCAGAGGTGGGATGCTATGACAGAGGATTAAGTTAAGGTCTCATAACATAGTACCCCAAATGCCCAAGTATCAATAGAAAATCACTCATTTCAGTTGGGCTTGGTGGCTCAGCCTGTAATCCCGCACTTTGGGAGGT